AAAATGTATTTCGGAGGAAAATAGGAGATAATTGCAATCTATTTTAAAGTTAAGCATTTTCATAATATTAGGGTAAAACCATATTATGCAACAAAAGACTAATTCAAACAACAATTTATTTGTAACAAAAACAAATTTACTCTTCACTATCAACATTCACATTCGTAAGACCTTTGAAGTTGGTACAAGGGACATATGTGCACAAGGTGTAGAGTTTGTGAACAGAATCCTCATCTTCATTGCGGCGTCTTGACAAGCGGACGCGAACACGGAACGGCACGTTCCTAAATATAATACTATCATTAGTATTGAAAGTTCAGTCAACTGATACCAAAATATAAACAGAGATTGACTAGAGGTTGGTCAGAAATTTCTTGTAAATTACTATCAGGAATTTGAAATATGAAACTGACGATGAGTAATCGCCCTTTCGCAGCCTTCAGTAACTTAACAAATGACAAAACAACAAAATTAAACCGTATTTCAATGCCTAATTGTAACTAATTCAACATCGCTTTGAAGCCGAAACTATGCCGCTAAACAAAGATTACAACATTAACCTCAAACTTCTCAGACGCACAAAATCTGGGCAAAAAAAAAACGGCTTGTCTGTTTATTTTTCCCTACGGCAAGCAACCGTTCGTCTTGCATATTACATTACATTCTTGGATTAGGAAACAAATCGAGGGCATACGGGGAGGGAAAGAACTATGAAGATGAACAACTTGAGGCTCAACGTTGAAAGTGAGACAGCAAAGGACCAAGAGGACGACCAAAAGTGAACAGAGAGAGTAAACAGAAAAAGGCGAATAGGGCCGCGGATTAAGCATTTGAATAGGAAAGCATGAAACGTATACTCCAAAGTCTATGTTAGCGGGTTGACAGCACAATTTAAGAGAAAGATCTTTGCACTGTCGAGAAACTTTAGAAATTAATAACATCGCTTTCCAATATGGCATTAGCTACATAGATAAATTACAAGCAAGATAAATTACAAGCATATGATAGAACTAAATACCGTGAATTACTTGTAGCATAGTTGCAAAAAGAGGGTACACGTTCAAATTTTGAGGTAAGGCAAGCTTCTTATTTAAAGCAGAGTGAGAAAAGCTAATAATAACAAGGTTATACATAAGAAATGTTTTAGCAGAATGCAGAGCGGAACTTTGCAGAACTGCACAGTAATTCTATGTTGGAGTTATGTTATTACTTCCAGAATTTTGCTTACTTTCGTACTCAATTTCTCACGGCA